CCGTGAGAAAGAATCTGGTTTGTTTTGGGAAGAAGCTATGTCTGGTGTGGGCTTAAAAGTGAAACAGACTCAGTGAAAACTTTTATAGTGAGTAAATAGGATAAATTAATATATAATAGAAGAGAAATCGAAATTTTCCGACATCAGCGCTTAGACCTCTGCAGGAAACATAGCGCTGAATTTTGATAGATCTGCATGAACAAGAGCAGAGAATAGGGCTGTTTCCCCTCCAGGCCTGAAAATGGTGGTGGACTGGAGATGGATGACGTTGCTCAGTCTGTAGACTGCTGGTTAGTGAGACGGTATGCTGCGCTTTATGGGGAGATCCAGTGGACTGTGTAAGCCACTAGAGCCTCACTCAGGGACCTGGAAAATGGAAGTCCAGTTGGATAACACAGGTTGAGAGAACCTGTCCATGATGAGCAAGCATGAAGCAACAGTGGAGAGGAAAAACTTGGGAAAAAACCTCTTGCAGAACCAGGCTCAACATGGCTCCCTTCTGTGAGACCGGTTGAAACGAGACACGGAATGCAGTAAGAGACCGGGAGTAATCAAACTCTGATGAAGTTTTAGCTACGATGGTGGACGAGGTTGGAGGTGGGTTGAGACAGGGTAATCTGTATGAAGTCACACAGTCCAACCACCGCCTGCTGCGCACTAGGCAGCAGACAAGTTACAGATCAGAGGCCTTTTAAAATGAATGTTGGATGCCGATTGGCTTTCATGGAGGTGTGGTTCAAAGCTGATTGGCTGTGTCGTAGGTGGATGTAGGAGAGCAATCAGTTTCTTCAGTTAAACTTCCGCCTAGGCTCCATTTGAGATAACCGTCATCTTATTACCGCTACTGTGAATGATGACAATCCTCAGCAAAGATTAAAAAGGTGCTCTGAGTTCCAGGATAAAAAAGAAATAAAAAATTATGGGAGGTCACACCCCTGAGGACATGGTTTGCATATGGACCATGTCCCTGCCAAAATTTTGGTTCGACCTACTCGTCACTACCAATAATTCGATGTGAACAACATGTTTATAATTTACAATACAGCAGTGTTGCAGCATTCACTTCTTTTCCTCTTTTGAACCATGTTTCACCTACATTGTTTACCTTTTGATCATTGCTATACTTTATAAATGGAAATCTGCATTTTCAGTGCTCACTGTCAGAAAGCTGTATAGAGGAAATTTTGTTTTGTATACACAATATGTATACAAAATTAAAGTAAAGTTTGTCTAAGTCTATGTCTAGTCTTTTTTAATAATCATTTAATGTATTTATTAACAATAAACGTTCTATATTTGATCATTGTACTCCCACTTGTATTCAAAGTAACAAAAGAGTCATCAAAATGTTTTTGAATTTTACGTCATAAAAGGTAAGTGCATAGTTACTTTGCCTAGTAAGTTACTTGAACTGAGCAGTAACTGAGTTAATAACTATTGCCAAATGACTTTGCAAATGTGCAGTGATTAAAATCCCCAATAACACAGTTCCCCTGCAGTACACACACAAACAGATAACTGCTGTTTCCTATTGCAATGACAAGTGCCAATCAGGTGTCAGTCCAACAGAGTAAATTTCTTTCTATTCCCTTTTCTTCCGCTTTATCCCGGGCCAGGTCGTGGAGGCATCAGTCTTTTCTTTTTTTCCCCCCAGCGTTTCATTGCATTGACCGTAAAATGCTAAACGCTGGACAGATGATAAATCTGTCCAGCGTTTTATTGTCATTGCACTTTCACAAGTTTAGGGCAACGGATTTAACTCTCTGCATTTAACCCATCCCTTGCGCAGCAGTGGGCTGCCATTGTGCGGAGCCCAGGGAGCAGTGTGGGGGTTAGGGGTCTTGCTCAGGGACCCAGAGGGGCAGTCCATGGGGAGTGGGATTTGAACTCAGGATTCCTAGCGCAATACCCTAACTTCTAGGGTGCCACTCCCCAAAGCAGGTGTTAGCGTGAAGGGTCTTGCCTAAGGACCCCCACTGGCAGTTCATTCCCCCCAGCTGGGATACCCATCCTGCGAACAGGCTTCCTGATTGCATTATGTATGACTAACCCGTTGAGCTAGCCAGCCGCTAAGCAGAGCAGCGCAGACTTCCCAATCCACACACAGCTCCTCCAGCTGGGGGACTCCGAGGCAACACCAGGCCAGCTGGCCATGCCAATAGGACATACCTGGAACACCTCCAGAGGGAGCAGCTTTCAAACAATTCTGTGAGATCTTTACTCAGTAACCCTTTTGCGAGAATGACAATGATGGAAAAAATCCATGTAAAAGAGCTGGGACCTGACAAGCCCGAAATAAATTTAACCAAGAACCAAGGAAAAAGCTAAATCCTACTACCGGACTTTTAACAGGAGTTGGTTACAGCGTAAGGCGTGGTTGACAGTTTTTTGTTTTCCCTGGATTCTTTTTAAAAGTGACCGCGGTGAGTTGAAATGGACACAGTTTGGACAGTCAGAAATACTTAAAACACCTACAGTATCTGACAGGTAGGACTGATTTAAAGCACTTTTTAGAAAAGCCAAAGAAAAATGAACAGGCCTGAATCTGGGATTCACATGGAAAATAATATAATATAGTGTACTTCTTCTAGACGTTTGTTAATTTGAAACCATTTGAAACGCTTAAATAAAAATATTCTCAGAAAATAAATAGTTTTTATATATAAAAAAATTATAAAGCTGACTAATAGCTTCTCCATTATTAAACTTGCACATTATTTTTTTTACACCGTATTGGACCATGCAAAATACAGATGTACCTCTGCATCAGAAAGGCAAAATGTATGTGCAAAAAGGAAACCTGTACATTAAATTATGATTAGTTTTTATTAAGTGTTTTCACAATGTTTTTTGTTGTTGGCATTCATTTAAGTTTGATTTGAGGTTTGATTATCAGCCAGATTATCCTGGAGTAGACCTTACTGGGGAGGCTGAGGAGTGTGATCCCTCTGTAGTCGGAACACACCCGATCCCACTTTCAATCCAGAGGTACTAACCCTGACCGCCGTGCGATATTGCTGACACATGTCAGCCAAGACAACCAGAGACTTAAGGTACTTGGACGAATCTCATCCACCCCCGGGGCCTGGCCACAGAGAAGCTTTCTAAGTATCTCAGTGACTTCAGCCTGGCCGATGGTCGAGTCCGCCTTTAAGTCCACAGCCTCTGCCTTCTCCTTCCGAAGAGGTGAAGATGGGATTGAGGAGATCCTCGAAGTACTCCTTCCACCGCCCGACAACATCATTGCATTGAGTCGAGGTCAGCAGCTTCCTAACCACAGTGTAAACAGTGTTGGTGAAGCACTGCTTGACCCTCCTAAGGCAGTGGAAAGTGTAACCCAGACCTGAGTTTTTGCCTCAGCAACCACAGGAGCTGCAGCACACTTGGCCTGCCAGTACCTCTTAGCTGACTCTGGAGTCTCACTAGCTAACAAGCGGACGTTGGAGAGCAGGATTGATGAAAGCCAAGGTTTGTGGGGATTCCTCCTTAGCTTCACAATTAGCCCCCCTCTGCATCATCGCTTTCTCCATCTTGCATATCTCTTCCTCCGGCAGTTACGTTCCGCTGTTGTTTTGTTGACATCCGTCCGTAGCACTCCGCAGTTTTTTAAACGGTCAAAAATGTCTGGATTTAAAACATTTTGAGACTGTAGCTCCAGCAGGCATTGGATATCTTAGATGCAGGTTAGATGTCTAGTCTGTATTGTATTTAGCTGCATATTATGTGAAATTATCGAAATTGTCGAGAGGAGAAGTTCTTGGCCGCTGCTTTGGAGCGCTGCCATGGCGACCCCTCCCAAGCCCTCCAAGAAGGCCGGATACTCTGCACCGATTTTGCAACCATAGGCCGAGACAACGGTGAGAGATCTGTCCCCATCCCGAAGGTGTAGGGATGTGACCCTCTCATTCACCGGGGTGAACTCCAAAATGGGAAGACTGAGATGGGGAGTAAGGCCATCCCCGGCCCTCTCCCCACGGACAACACCAGAGAAGTGGTAGCTAAGTTATTTAGAAACAATGGATGTTTATATTAGATCTGAATCCAAAGATTATTAACCAGATACATATCTGGAATTTGACAAGACCATTGCTATATAGGAGAAGTCCTTGACATGAATCATGTTGAAGAAAATCTGTTGAAGAGAACTATGTGGTAAAGAAAATTTGTAGTCTTTTAAGAATGGTACCATTTTATATGTAGGTTAAGGAGTTACATTTTTTGCAAGAATTTTGTTTGATGTGAAGAGATAGGACCTTTTTCTATCACTTGACGTGAGAGTCACATTGTATTTTACTGTAGATGTAGTTGAGTGGCATGCATGGTGGATAGATGCCTCTCACTAAAATCAGATGAGGGCAGCATTTTGTTTGTGATCAATGTGGTGCATAATTTTGAGTTGTAGATGTCACTATCGTTCTGATTTGTTCATCGTCTGCAAGAGCTTGAAACAGGCTACATTTGTAGCCAAGGTCGTTCCCAAAATAAATGGAAAGGTGGTCATGCTGAGTTTTGCAAGAGCAGTCCTCAATGATATTGTAAAGAAATTAAATTTAAAATGTTTTCAATATTATATCAATTCAGTGAAAGAAAGTAGAACTGCTGACCATTTAGAAAAATTACTGTCATGGCCACCATATGTATCAGATATCCATATTCATTTTTTTACTGTATGATTTAGATGAACCATTGTATGGTCATTTTTAAGACAAACTGCACAATGTTTTCCTGTTTCTGAGACAGGCTACTACATTATCTGGACATTGCCACCTTATGCAACAAAGAGACAGAAGCATCATACCATGTAAACATCAAACAATGAAACATTTTGAAAACCATCAAACACCCCTGTAATCTGCCAACGTTAAGAATGTGAATCCTATCAGCCATTAGGTATGGAACTGAAGCTAATTTAAAGCATACATCTCTGTATTCCAGTAATACTTTTTGTACATTCTCTCTTTCTATGATGGTTTGTGTTCAAAGAGAAGAGAGCATTGACGTAACTTGAAGAGTTTTTTTATTTACTGCGCAGTTCAGTTAAAGCCTAGAAGCAGCCAGGGTGATCTAAATAAGAAGCACAATCCCTTCACCCACACACTTTTGAGCTTGAAGAATGATTCATTCCAAAAGTTTGGGCCGCAACGACTGTTATTCTTCAAAGCATCATTAAGCCAACCATAATATTTAGAGATATTAATATAAACATTCGGCACATTTGGGTAGGCGCAGTTAAAGTTTTGGTTGAAAGACACAATCCCAACAGCTATCCCGTTGCACACCAGAGGGCCACCAGAATCACCCTGTAAGAATGAGAATTTTTTCAGTTTCTTTTTTAATTATCCAACAATGATTAGACTATTAATATACTCTTAACATCAAAGGCATACCTGACAGAATCCTTTTTCTGTATTATATCCACCAGCACAGATCACATTGGGTGGAAGCCCATACTGCCACTCCTTATTGCAGACGTCTTTGTTGATGATGGACACATTGACCACTCTCAGATCGTTACTGATGTCACTGGTTTCAGTTTTACCCCATCCAGCGACAGAACACATTTGATTGTCATGTAAAAAAAAACCAGGCCTTGCAATGCGAATGGTCTTTACTCTGTTGTTAACAGAAACTTTCCTTGAGAGCTGAAAACACAAAAAGGGGAAAAAAAAAAAACATTTAGACAAAAAAATGTCCAAGTTGTGTTTGGACATGACATGTATAAAAATGACTGTATAAAAATATCAACACATCTATAGGTGTTAGCTTTTTTATAAAAAAAAACACGACAAACCATTTAGAATATGCGCTAACCTTTGTACGTAATTATCATGTGATGCTGCTACTTTTACAGATGAAGTTCGGTGCCAGTTCTGGGTGTACAGTGTTGGCTTGAACTAGAAGACCTGAGTGGTCTTGGTCTTGCTTTTCGTAAATAAAGTGTTAAAACCCACTGATTCTTCGTATGATTATGCATGTGGTGCAAAAGAACCAACATGAGAGTTATGTATTTTTAGAGATGGGAAGTAACGAAGTACAAATACTTCGTTACTGTACTCAAGTAGATTTTTCTGATATTTTTACTTTACTTTACTACTTATTTTTATGGCAACTTTTTACTTCTACATCTTACATTTTTACACAAATATCTGTACTTTCTACTCCTTACATTTTAAAACATTGGCTCGTTAGTTTAGTTTTGAATCATTTCAATGGAGTTACCGTTATTATTTTTGACGTCATCAATACCAAATTCAATCTAATTGGATGGGAATCTACGTTGCATTTGACGCACCACTACAAGATGAATCGACAGATTCGGCGGTATTCATTCGCGGCAAATCATTGCAGCTTGGTGGCGGTGGCGTTAGCATAGTAGTATGGACGACGAGATGATTGAAAAAGAACACAAGGGAGATCTAGTCCTATTGGCAGACATCCATTTAAAATGTAGGCAACTGTACTTCCACTTTTACCAGAGTATTTTTTAACACAAGTATCTGTACTTTTACTCAAGTACGGAAAGTGAGTACTTTTTCCATCTCAGATTCATTTGGTGATTTTTTAACTAACAGAAGGATTTTATAGACCTTTTGTCAATGAAGCAGATATGGGATTGGAAGAAATTATACAAATATCTACAAAATATTTATGCTGTAGAAAAACATTATACTTGCAAATACTAATAATGACTCACTGTTATGAATTTAGCACAGAATAAAATATTATATTGTTAACAAGTACTTACTTTGAGAAGCATGATGTCATCGCCATAATTTACATCCAGGTAATCTGGGTGTTTGCATTGTTTTTCAATTTTTATTTTCTCTACATTTGAATTCTGGAGATCATGACTTCCCACGACAACCACATCAGGTTTGCTGTAATTAATTAGGGTAAGGAGGTTATTGCTACAGTACATCTGAAACAAATGAACAGAAATAAAACATTGACTTACGAATTACTGCAGTGCGCAGCAGTGACCACAAAGTCCTCACTGATCAGAAAGCCTCCACACATATGTTTCCCAGCGCTTTGGACTGAGACCATATACTGCATCGAGTTTGCAGGGGCCTTTTCTCCATTTATGATATGACTCCCGTAAACTAAAATTATGTGTAAAAAATAGAGTTAGCTCAGTGACTTGTTAATATAAGAAAAAAAAAGTCAGAATTTGTCTTACCTGTTTTTGGGAGAAATATCAGGAGTAAAAGATTAACTTCACTGAAGCCAAGCATGGTGTCAGTAAATTGTGCCAGACTGATTCTAGCTGTGCAGAAGTTTTTAAGCTCTTTTATACAATTTGCCTGCATGTAGTCTGATCTAAAAAGATAAGATCTCATGTTGGACCCCATAGAAACCATAAACATTAAATGCGAAAAAATTTTTGGCCCGCAAATACTTGCCACATTGACTCATTTCCTTTAAATCTTTAAGGTCAAAATAAGCCACACAGTTTAGAGAAAAAAGGTATACACAGGCAGCAAACATAAGCAGTATTTTAAATATGTTAAAATATTTCAGATGGCATGCTAAGTCCTTCATGTGATGTAATGTGATTTGAAAAACTATATATTTTATTTGCTTATGCAATTTCTTAGTCATCCAAGTTATTTCAATTACAAAAGAGACTTAAATCTGCAACGAGACATATGCTCAGTTTTTCTGAAAGCATATTTAGGAGTCACCTATTCAGGGGGCTGGGGCTGCTTTAGCTGGCATTGAGTTTCCCTTCAAATAAGAAAAAAGAATATCAAAATTCAGACTCATTTAATCAGACCAAAGAATGCTTTTAAGAAATGTAAAGCTCTTAAGAGAGCAGGTGTTACTCCTTAAAGAAAGGAAAAGGGATGAGAAAATGACACAGGGAAACGTATCACTGCTTCTCCATTTACTTGTGTATTGGGTATGGCAAACAAAATACAGAACACAAAAACATCCCTTTCTGCAAATTTTGGCATAAATGATATAAATTATGCATGCAGTGCGTTTTTAATAGCAACTCACAAAAACATTTTTAGACATGAAATATTAATATTTTCCAGTCAAAATAATTAAGCAAACACATAACAATCACAAACAAAGCAATGTGTTATTTCTATTGATAGAAATCAAACTATGCGAGCACAAGGTCTCCTGCTGCTAGCAACAGTGTTAGTAATAGTGCCTAACTTGTTAGCTAAACAACTCTCCAGCTGCACATGAGCAGCAAATGCACCACTTAACAGTGCAGAACTTTCCAAAAAATTACAAAAGCAATCAAACAGAGCTATTATACATCCACACATCATTTTTTTAAGTTTTACCCCATTAATTACCTTAAAGAAGGGGAAAACGATGAGAAAATGACACAGGAAAAATGTATCACTGCCACTGATCTTCATTATTTCACATGATTGCTGATAACCCGTTGGTAGTACCGGGTGGAGTGAAGCCACTGGCCTGCCATATTACTATTCCCTTGTTAGACTGCTTGCAATGTAAAAATATGTGATATTGCATTGAAAAACAATGGTGTTTTCATTTTCAGGGGGGCTTAATACTTTGAAAATAAAGATGAATTCATCACTCGGACATACCCTTGCTGTTTCGTTGCATAAGTCTATTACTGTGACTTATGATTTAAAAAAAATAGGGAAATCACCTTGCCTAGTCAGTATAAAGTCAATGAAGTCTATAAATCATGTAATATGACATATTATACAAATCCATCACAACAAAATAAATGTGTTAACGGAGCACAATAATAGAGATGTGACAAAAGTGCTAAATTGATGATGTACATGTAATATACATGTCTTGATGGCATTGTTGTGGTAATTACACATAACATACAATTTCAAGACCTAACATCAAGACTGAATTACAAGGACATGTCTGTTATTTCTATAGTATTGATTTTCAAATTGTACTTGCATGATACCATATGCTTATATGCTGTGTCTTTGCATTAGCCTCTAAAAATGTTTTTTTCGTCAATATAACATGCAATATGTTTCAGCACATCACTTTTTTAAATGAAAAATACAAAAAACACTACAAAAACATTTTTTTTATTGTTGCACGCAGCTGCAGCTCACACTGCACGTCTTTAAACCACGTCGGACTCAGCTCCGCAGTGAGATGGTGCTGCTCTGACTCTTCTATCCAAAAGCCAAATGTGTAGCAGAGGAATATGAAGCTCACCAGAGGGAACTGCGCTGCCTGGGCAATTTGTGCACTTTTGTGCTGAGAGCCCTAAAAAGAAAAGGCAATGACGTATTTGGACAAAGATATGGCTCAGCAAAAGTGGCTACTGCAGTCTGTCAATTTTACAGAAAGAACTCCATTTCACCCACACCCCGACATACTTCTGTGTTTACATCTGAGAGGAAGTAGAAAAAGAAGAGTCCTTGTTTGTGCATGCCCACTGAGCGATTTGTCCACCGACGGTTGGGAGATTTTCTCCCAACTTCACGATTCCTGATCAGGAGGTGATCCCCCCTTGTTACCCCTTGTACACTACACAACGCACAATCAGGCTGAAAGTCGGCCAGATCGCCGAGATCAGAAACTTCTCGCAGGACTTGAAATTCCCCCCACCCAATCCCACCCCACCCGTAAAGGGCAAAAAAATGCACAGTGTATGCCGGGCTTTACTGTGTATTGAGTGTGGGGAATAGAAGCATGCGAGTCCCCCTGATGGATCCTTCAGGTAATGATGTTAGATTAACCCATATCCCAGCAGGTAACTACTTTAGTTTGCACATTTTAAACAAAACTAGGAAAATTTTAAAATAAAAAGATATATTACAAATAACACAATGTACCCTGCAACACAGGCAGCACTTCTTTTGTTAAAGTTTGGGAGACAGTGGTGAGCGGTCAGAGCCTTCAAGGCCTTTACTGCTGGCCTAAAATCAATCAGAAACACTAACCTACATTCATAACTTAAACTTTTATTTTATTCTATCCAACTGTGTTATTTTTTTCCAAACAATTAATTCCCTTAATTTTGTAGCCTTTTCCTTGCTTCTCCTCTCTGCAATTATGTGTTTGCTATATTTTTGGTCCATTTAGATTTCAGCCTTTGTACGTTGCTTTGTCAATCAAATCTGTCCAGGGGCTTGAAAATCAGCAGTGCTGGCTCATGTTACCTTAACCATATTAGTGAGGAACATTTTCTTCAACTTCAATAAGATTTGAGATTTGCCCCACAGGGCCAGCTAGTGGGCCCACAGGAATGTCAGTATTTTCTGTCCTCTGATTGGTCAGTTTAGCTAAATGTTTACAGCCAAGTAATACTAGCGACAATCTGCATTTCAGATTAACTTTCTGGCCTCAGTGGCTGATAACTAAATGAAGATACTAAGAATTCGTGTACAATCACAGAAGTATGGATTTTGTTTACAGGTAATTAGCGTCTCTAGAGAGAGGGATATATTTCATTTTCATGCTTTATGCGCTATATTATCTTGTCTTTGGATGCATTTTGAATCTAAATGTCTACTGATGCTGTAAATGTGGTGGATATGTAATAATAGAGTAGAGGTTTATATATATATATATATATATATATATATATATATATATATATATATAAGTAGAGGAAAGCCATTGTGGTGGACATACCAATACCAAGTGACTGCAACATCAGGTAAAATGAACATGAAAAATTAGAGAAATACCAGGGGCTCAGAGAAGAGCTGGAGAACACCTGGACATTTGTTTTGTCATTATAGCATCTTACTTATCTTTACACCATGCTTATTCAAGATAAAGCTTCTATGAAGGATGATAATCTTTGCTTTGTGGTCACATCTCTAACAGTGGTATCGGTTCATCTTTACAGGCAGTCTGCAAAAAAAAAAAAAGATCTAACAGGAAGGATGAAATAAGTAACAGCCTCTTGCCTAATTACAGCCTCTTCTTACCTAATACATTGACTGATATATACGTATATCTTCTGATCTTTAACTGTACGGTTCCATATCAGCCTCAGTCGCAATTATTCCTGTTTATACCTTGTGTGACATGTTTAGATATAAGCTTCAAATGATACATTTAAAAACTTTGCTTAGTGGCTAATGTTATCCAGCAGGATCTTCCCTTTTTTATTCATGCCCATTTACCTCCAGACAGAAACAGACTGGTGTGGCAGTGGACATACTTCATGTCAGTCCTTACCAAATTAGATCAAATTAGAAACAACACAGTCTTTTAACAATACGTACCTAAAGGACCGGTCTTAATATAACTTAATCTAACTTCAGGGGGAGCAGTGTTGTTTTTTTTCCCTGCTGGGAAACCCTGGACCATCTCTATACCAGCTAAAGGGTGCTTGTAGGTTCCTGGAAGTTTGCACTACTTCTCCACATATGGAGGAGGCCAGGCCCAGTCAAGAGTGACTGCTGTTCTGAATGCCTCCTTGCGAGATTTTCGAGGCATTTCACGGCGGTAGGAGGCCCGGAGAACAGTTCAGAACACATCAGAGAAAAGTTGTTTCTCGGCTCCCTTGGGAACATCACAGGCCAGGTGTCTGGTGAGAGAAAATTATGGTTGCCTCTCTTGAGACTTCTGTCCAATGGACTTGGTTCCAGATAAGCAAAAGATGACAATTATGAGCCTAAGACTCAACTGCATATGAAAAAAGTTTTTAGAAACCTGTCTGTTTACAAGTTTTAAAGCCATCTTTGGAACTTTTAAACAGGTCAATTCAGCAGTGGGAGAATACATATATAGTGCTTGGTTTAGGGGGGTTTATTTGCCATTTATGTATAGACCAAAAGGCCAGGCACATTGGTAATGTATTTCTGGGTTCTTTTTAAGTCAACAGATTAGATAATGAGTAGCTGACATAAGGAATAAAATATAAAATGTAAGTAAGGCATTGTGATAAAAAAGCAACATCCCCCATGCCAAAGAAAGAACATCAAAAAGCCATTAAGTTTGGGGATGAGAATGACCCAGATTTATCCTCTGCAATATCTTAATTTATAGTTTCATTGCTCTAGAGTCTAATGGCTTTACATCCCTTCATTTGACAGTATGAATTGCAGTTTAATGCAAGCTCACTGTTTTGGGGCTAAACATTAGCTGATCAAACGTTTGGAGCTTCGTACTTAATTACTGTGCTGACAATTTGTGATCTTTGTGCACTTTGTGCATAAAATAAAAAAATAAAACATAACATAAAAACAATAAGCAATTGGATATGAGTTTAACAGAATCAGCAATAAAACCGGCATTAAAAGAGCAGCCTCATAAAATCTTTACGTTTTATTCGTTTTTGAAACTCACTGTCCATCACAGTGTGCA